GATTTAAAAAAACGCAGTAAGGAGGACAAAACTATGAAAGAAAAATCAATTATGTATAATTAATGTATTAAGTTACAGTAAAAAAATAACATTTGTTAACATAAATTCCAAGATCAAGGGGAATAATTCTAGAAATAGTCATACTAGAGTTATGGACCTTGCCACACAACATTTGTGTAATGATAAGAAATATATATTTGAAGTTTGAAGTAGATACCTTAAAAAATAAAGAAGTTATTATATTTCTTAAAGAAAAATCCTAAGTTCAAAGAGAGATAAATCTGTAAATATTGCTTCAAGAGTTATGAACATTGTCACATAAAATGTAATTGATGATAAGGAATAAGTATTTGAAGTTTGAGGTAGATACCTTTAAAAATAAAAAAGTTAAAATAAAAAATAACATTTTTCTAGTAAATAAATCTAAGTTTATGGGGAGATAATTCTTGCAATATTGGTGCTAGAGTTATGAACCTTGTCACATAAGATGTGGATGATGATGACGTAAATATAATTGAAGTATGAAGTTGATCCCTTCAGAAATAAATAAGTTACAGTAAAAAATAATATTTTTTTATGGAAAATTCTAAGTTCAAAGGGAGATAAATCTGAAAATATTGGTGCTAGAGTTATGAACCTTGTCACATAAGATGGGATGATGATAACGTAAATATATTTGAAGTATGAGATTGATCCCTTAAGAAATAAAGAAGAAACAGTAAGAAATAGTATTTTTTGAGGAAAATTCTAAGTTCAAGGGGAGATAAATCTGAAAATATTGGTGCTAGAGTTATGAACCTTGTCACATAAGATGGGGATGATGATAAGGTACATATATTTGAAGTATGAGGTTAATCCCTTAAGAAATAAAGAAGTATCAGTAAAAATTAGTATTTTTAAGGAAAATTCTAAGTTCAAGGGGAGATAAATCTGAAAATATTTGTGCTAGAGTTATGAACCTTGTCACATAAGATGTGGTTGATGATAAGGAACATATATTTGAAGTTTGAAGTTGATACCTTAAGAAATGGCAAAGTTATAGTGAAAAATATTTTACTGCACCAAAACTTTAATCTAAAATCTGGACGCGGACGCCGACGCCGACGCCGGGGCGAGTAGGACAGCTCTCCATATACTTCGTATAGTCGAGCTAAAAAGTGACTTTCATATGAAAGATTAAAGATGCACATTGTCAGATTCCTGCTAATTTTCATGAAATTTTTGAAAATGTATTAAAAAGTACATGTAGAATATTATGAAGTGAAATATTAAAATAATGTATGCATAACAAACAGCACTAACATCTCATGTAAATTACCAAAAAGAGGTTAAAATATGCTAAAAAAAAGCCCTTACTGCGTTAGTTACAGAGTAGAAATATGGTGAAAATAATGCATTTCGCACATAAGATGGAAATAATTACATTTACCTCACATCTTTTTACTTTTCATAAAATCTCTGTACATTTTTCTCAAGTTTTGATTTTCTTGAAATACTTTTGCTCATCTGGAACACAACTGCACTATATGTATATAATTATATTTTCTATACAGCTTACTTAAATGATATATTAAACATTTGTTAAACTTACAATCTGGTTGGTAGATAGCTAGGAGAATCATCTTTGCTCTTAGCAATCTCATTGCACTTGTTGATGGCATCAAACATAGCAAATGAGTCTCCGACGATGAACAGTGTAGCCAAGCATCGTGCCAGTAACTTCCTGGTCGGTGGACCGGGTGATTCACTTATCTGATTTATCAACTGTTCAACAAGACGCTTCTGTTTCTCTTTAATGTCAGACTAAAATATAAAACATTTAATTTTTGTTTAATATTATCAACAAAATAATTTGACTAAGAATTTAAATACTTTTTTTTTTCTCCCTTTCCATCTTTCCAATTTTGCATTTATGGGTAGAGGTAGACACTCACTGTGTTGTTCAATAACTTCAGCTTAATAGTATGAACAGAACAGGTTTTTTTGTTGGTTTTTTCCCCTCAAAAATATATTCTTTCATTTTGAATTTCATTCAATCCAAAAAAATAAACATTATCAACTTTCAAAAAAAGAATATTTTGCAAGGTATGGAGGCACAGCCTTTCCCTTAAAAACATCAACAAAGTCATCATATCTTATAGGTATCCTATAAATTCTGGAATTACTAGAACAAACATTACATATAGGCTAATAAAGCCGCTAATGAAGGGTTTCTAAAAACCTATGTTTCAAATTTTGCTGACTGATATACAAACAAAACTATTAACATTAATACAGATGTTGTTCATTAAAGATACAGTCTAATCACAAGGTAGAAATTAACAGATAAACAAAACTTCTGAGAGCAGACTGTTTATCAACTTATGCATAATTAATACATCATTGACTGGGTTTTGAATTCATGTTAATAATTCACTTATATGATAAATGCAAAAGTTTAATTTGAGTATTTTGGTATTATCATATATACAAATATATGCGTGTGTTTTGAAGAATATAATGAAATATTAAGAAAATCAGGAAGTGGCTGCCTGCTATATCCCAGACTAAAAGACAACTGTTAACATAAACATGTCTGTGTTCCATCTAAAATAATAAGATTTGTGTGTAGGTAACACACTACATCATGTGGTAATAAGACAACCTAATAATATAAATCAAGTACATCCAGCACATGTTCAAACACTTAAGTTGGCCAAATATCACCGAGAATAACCCATTCAGAAAATTGAACATCACGCATTCATGACATGGTAAAATTCTTAAATATTTCTCATATTACAATAATTATAAAAGTTTATAGTTGGTTAAAATGTTTCCTAGATTAGAATATTTCCTGACTTTCAATATACTGGAATGAAGTTTTCTTATGCTAGACAAAATCTTTGTTCATTATGTGCCACGTTCAGTTGTTTTTCTGTTAATATTATTAAACTCTTGAAAACACACTAGAAAATTTCTATTCTGTTCTAGTCTACTCTACAACATTAACCCTTTCCCCCATGAGCATATTGTGAAAAATGGCCGTTTTCACTGAAAAGCCTCCTCTTACAAGTTCAAACTGCTATGAAACTATGAAAAATGCTTCAATACTAATCAAACTTGGCACAAATGTTGACTGGACCACTGCCTTTGTAACGACATGCTCAGTCTTAAATTTCCTGTTACCATGGCAACGAGGGGACATCTCAAAATTGCCAAAATCACTATTTTGCCTCGATTTTTTCCATCAAAATTTATTTCAAAGTGCTGCAACTTCTCAAGGGATTGAGATAGAGTCAAAGGCTTTTCAGCGTTGGTTACATGTTACATTATGATCGACCTGGGGTCATTTTTAGCCTCTCACAAGTCCAAAATTTTCTTGGCGATGAGGGGGACTCCGCCCCCCTTCAAACCCCCCTAACAGAAGGGGGCACATCCCCCTTCTGGCAACCCCCTGTTTATCTTTTGGATGGGGGGCGGCGCCGAAAAAGTGCTCATTTTTTTTTGGCAACATTTCTCAAACGAAAACATGTGTTTGGGGCCCAAATAGGACATTTTTTCACTATTTGAGGCCTAAAAAAGGGGGGGGGGGGGTCGAAAGTGCGTTGTTTCGCGTATATATGTGGTAAAGGGTTAATACATTAATAAGCTTAGCTTAGCTTTGGAACGAAAAATGACTTGGGCCATCCTTAAAAAAATGTTTGTTTGCAGTAACGCGACCGACTCACAAAATTTGCCCCTACTCAAATTTTTTTTCATGGTCTGGATAAAAAAATTATTTTTTTTGAATCAGAAAATTATGCCTTGTGCTTTGTTTTTGTTCTTTTAAAGGTTAATAGAAGAAATAAAATGTAGTTCTCAATAAAAAAGAATTCAGGTATCAATTAATTAATTGTTACCAGATTATCAAAGCATATTTTGTCCAGCATTTTGAAATTCCATGTTTATTTGAGAGTACAGTTCAATCAAAAAAAAAACAACTAGAACTATCACTAAATGTGATTAATACCCCCACAAGACTGCTTCAGAAATGAGGATGTTACTAGTAACAGAATACCTTGTAAAGAATTGAAACAGAGTTATGGTTGTGGGCAATTAAAGATAGTTGTGGTTCTTGTATGTTGCATTTCCTTTCAATGTGGTTGGCCATTGATGAAGTTTTATTGGATTACTCTGTAAGAAGTCCAGAAAGACAAGGAAAAGGAACAAAGGGCAATAACTCTATAAATACTGAAGATTGAGTTATGGCTATTGTACACTGCACTTCCTCTCATTGGGCTTGACCACTGTATGAAGTTGTATTGAATTCCAACTACTAGTTTTCAAGTTATGCACTGGACAAAAAAGTAACAAAAGCAATAACTGTAATTAGTCCAAATAGAGTTATTGTTCTTGTGCATTGCACTTCATCTCACTGCCCTTGACCATTGTATAAAGTTTCATTGAATTCCAACCATTAATTTTCAAGTTATGCACTGGACAATAAAAAGTAACAAAGGGCAAAAACTTTTAAATTAGTCAAAAAAAAGAGTTATGCTTTCTGTGCACTGCACTTCCTCTCAATATACTTGACCATAGTATGAAATAGTTTTGAATTCCAACTAGTAGTTTTCAAGTTATGCTCTGGACAAGGAAAAGTAACAAAGGGCAGTAACTCTGTAATTAGTCAAAATGGAGTTATGGTTCTTGTGCACTGCACTTTCTCTTATTGTGCTTGACCATTGTATGAAGTTGTTATAATTCCAACCAGTATGTTTTAAGTTATGCTCCAGACAAGGAAAAGTATCAAAGGGCAATAACTTTGTAATTTGTCAAAATGGAGTTATAATTCTTGTGCACTGCATTTCTTCTTAATGTGCTTGACAACTGCATGAAGTTGTATTTTCAATTCCAACTAGTAGTTTTCAAGTTATGCTCCAGACAAGGAAAAGTAACAAAGGGCAATAACTCTGTCATTAGTCAAGATGGAGTTATGGTTCTCATGCACTGCACTTCCTCTCAATGTGCTTGACCATTGTATGAAGTAATATTGAATTCCAACTAGTAGACTTCAAGTTATGCTCCGGACAAAAAAAAGCAATCGAAAAGTAACAAAGGGCAATAACTCTGTAATTAGTCAAAATGGAGTTATGGTTCTTGTGCATGGCACTTCCCCTTATTGTGCTTGGCCATTGTATGAAGTTGTTTTGAATTCCAACCAGTAGTTTTCAAGTTATGCTCCGGACAAGGAAAAGTAACAAAGGGCAGTAACTCTATAATTAGTCAAAATGGAGTAATGGTTCTCATGCACTGCACTTCCTCTCAATGTGCTTGACCATTGTATGAAGTTATATTGAATTCCAACAATTAGTCTTCAAGTTTTGCTCCGAACAAAAGAAAGCAATGGAAAAATAACAAAGGGCAATAACTCTGTAATTATTTTAGATAGAGTTATGGTTCTTGTGCACTGCACTTCCCCTTATTGTGCTTGACAATTGTATGAAGTTGTTTCGAGTTTCAACCAGTAGTTTTCAAGTTATGCTCCGGACAAGGAAAAGTAACAAAGGGCAGTAACTCTGTAATTAGTCAAAATGGAGTTATGGTTCTTGTACACTGCACTTCCTCTCAATGTGCTTAACCATTGTATGAAGTTATATTGAATTCCAACTATAAGTCTTCAAGTTATAGTCCGAACAAAAGAAAGCAATGGAAAAATAACAAAGGGCAATAACTCTGTTATTACTTTAGATAGAGTTATGGTTCTTGTGCACTGCACTTCCCCTTATTGTGCTTGACAATTGTATGAAGTTGTTTCGAGTTTCAACCAGTAGTTTTCAAGTTATGCTCCGGACAAGGAAAAGTAACAAAGGGCAATAACTCTGTAATTAGTCAAGATGGAGTTATGGTTCTTGTGCACTGCACTTCCTCTCAATGTGCTTGACCATTGTATGAAGTTATATGGAGTTCCAACCATTAGTCTTCAAGTTATGCTCCGGACAAGGAAAATGCAACGGACCGCTGGACCGACCGACTGACCGACCGATCAACCGACCGACCGATCAACCGACCGACCACCGGGTGACTCCTATATACCCCCCCAAACTTCGTTTTTGGGGGTATAAAAATCGACCTACCTACCCACCTTGAAAATTCTGGGTCAGGTTACTGCAAACAAATATTTTTTAAGGATGGCCTTAGTCATTGTGACAAGATGAATTTGGATGAAAAAACACCAGAAAGATCAACACTTTACATACATTGTTAAAAACATTGTTCAAAATCTCATAACAACAAGCTTGAATTTTTTAGGATATTTTTTATCATGTTTTACTTAAAATCAATTAATATATTGATGCCTTACATCCAATTTCTATACAGACATGTCACAAAATGCCTGCATATATTTGTTTGTTTGTTTCATTTTACACCTTTTCCCAACAGTATTTCAGTCATATAGGCGGGTAGTTTCCTAACCATCGTTCCTGGAGAGTTACACCAGTACTAGACTACCTTCCTCTGCGCTAAACTACCAAAGCATCTCCCAGGGATCGAACCCATGTCAGAGAGGTAACTGGATTAGAAGTCATAAAAACATGACTGTTCTAAAACATAAATGTTTGGATATTACATAAATGTTTGGATATTACCTTTTGTGCTGCAGAAAGGACTTTGTCAAGAAATCTGAGCCATTCAAACACAAAAACGGGCTTTTTGTTGTCTGGAATTTTCTGCAAAGCCTCCTCATTAAGGAGAAGGCTGTGAGCTAATTCCATCATCTATAAAATCTTGGTGATCTTCCCTAAAATATCATTCCTTTACTTTTTCTTCTTTCTCCTGAAAATAGAAATCATTGTATTTTATATCACTCTTGTCTTTTAAACTTCTGCAATTATGTTATCTAGTTCCTTTCAACAAATTTTCTTAATTATTCAAGGGTATTATATTTTTTATCCTATTATATGTTTATTAAAGCTTTGGAGAGTAATAATGTAAAAACAATTACCAGACTTTGGCATAATTAATTACAAACAGAATCTGTAAACAGTATAGGGCTTACAGCCAACTGTAGGGAATTAATCCAACATGTTTCTACAATAAAAACAGCCAATACTCTTATAAAACTTTCTCTGAAATACTCACTCATCTTATATATTTTGCAATCTGAAAATAAAACAGTCTGAAGAGTTTTTTTTTTTTTTTTTTTTTATAATAATGTCATATTCTAAATAGAGTATTTCTAAAATTTCCCATCACGATTAAAAGACCAATTTAATTTCTCAGCTTTAACTTTCTTTTACGTGTTTTTGTATAATTTAAAACAATCAAAATTTCCCATATAACCCATTTGCTTATAAAATTTTTGAACTATTTTTCCGTTACTTTTTTTTTCTTTTTACCAAGAAACTTGATTCTCGGGTTTCCAAAAACATTTCTTGAAAACTAAATTGTTGAATCCGGGATTCCCCATCATTTTTTTTCGCAATTCTAGCCAACCAATTCTGTTAATCAACTTGAGGCAGTTATTCTGTAATCAAATTAGTTATCTGGTATATTTCCCAGACTATTGCTCAACTCTGATCCAAAAAATAATTATTGGTAAGTCAAAAAATGTTATAAAAATTGCATTCTTTTCTGCCAAATTTCAGTTTTATTTTCAGTAAGTGCATCTTTTCTGACATAATGCTTTTATATTACAATTTCCTTCTTTATGACTATAGGATTTAGGATTTTTAAATCTCAGAAAAGATTGCAAATAGCTTTTTTACTACAGAAAATAAAAGCACACATTTTTTGTCGAAGTAATACATCATAATATTATGCTTCTATTAAAAACAGCGAGAATCAAAATTGAAAATAGTGCAAAAAGTTTGACAATCAAATCATAAAATGTTCCACTCAATTTAGCAAGCTGGAACTGGAAAATTCATTATGAAATTTTAATGATTTTTTTAACAGAATTTTTATAGCTCATCAACATCATGAAGAGCACCAAAAAAACTCCTGTTACCTCAATGATCCAGAAAAAAAAATCTTTGACAATCAGAGATATTTACCTGTAATTCAGAAATAGAAAGTTATCAAAAAGGTTTATCATGGTAAAATAGTATCAAACATTTTAATCAGGAAAGTATCTATGACCTATCTCTTTAACTGATTATATAACAAACATGGAGATACAAGATAAAAATCCTGGCAGAAATGAACAAATCTCATTTCAAGCTGTTGAGATCATCTTTATAAAAAAAAAAATCAAAAAAAATCTTTATATTAGAATTCCAGACACCTTATATTATTAAAGTGATAAATCACTTACCACCATTTTCAATAACATCCTATTCACAATAAATTCCATCAAATTATGAACCGACCTGTTATACAGATTCTGATATACCTCATAAAGTTCTAAGTGAATGCAATAATCAGTCAATTACTGGCATCATCCTATATGTTCCCTCAGGTGAACTGTCCAACTCTATATGAGAATACTAACTTATTGATTAAGCCTACATCCAGCATGGATTTCTCCCAAGTCCTCATGCATGGTGTTTAACTATTTGTTTAGTTATTTGTACTGTAAGTTAAAAATTTGCCGTAAGCATTCTATAAGTGGATTTGTGTAATGGACCCATCCATCTTTAACTATCAGAACTACTAATTGGTAAAGTTTCATAAGATTTTAAATAGATTTTAAATACACATAGTCATGTAAAAATTTAAAGGAGTTAACAGTGTATGGAGTAGACAGCATGAAATATAATCAAATGTAAACCAAATTGTAACGCTGCATTTACAATTCTGATAATTGTATAGCTTTTCCATATCATCTTACTCAGACAAGCAATTACATAAACAAATTTTCACACCATCTTTATAATATGACATGGAATTTTTTTTAGATTATGCTATTCTAAATGTGTGAACTTACATTTAAAGTATCTTCCCTTATTCATAAAAAAGCAACATAAGTTTGAAGGTACAAAAACTATGTTTAACTAAACATGTGATCTACCACAAGCCCCAGGTCATTTGTAAACTATTTGATAAGTTTAGTTTTGACAATGAAGAATTGTTGTGGTAGGTAAATCACATCACTTCTTATATACAAATGTATATTTGATTCATGAATGTTATCAAAGTTTACAATCAAACTAGGTGTAAGACATTTGTCTTATTATTCATTTTTCAAAACAGGTACACATTATGTCACAAGGTTACATGTCAATGCAGGTAAAGTGTTAATCACTAATTCACTTTATGAGGCAGTAATATCCAATATTTTGAACATTCTGAAAGGGGACATTTAAACAATATTTGAACTTAATTTTTCAAAAAATAAATTACCCCAGGAATATTAAATTGGGGTATTCTGCATACTCTGTATTATGCCTAATTCATACGGTATGTTTAAAATTTATGTATACAACATGTAATTAAAGAGATCTGTAGTGAATGTTAACTTAGAGAACAAGTTCATTTTAATCTAAAGTATGTAATGAATCATTACTAAGTAACCTACTTGAAGAGGTACTTCAATACATAGAGACAGTTTTTGTCTAAAAAACATTTATATGGATAACATTGTACTCACCAATCTCTATTCTGATTCACACTGGTTATTAGCAACAATTATTTACTAAATGACTAGTTCAATTAAATCTTCCAACTACACTCTATAACATTAGCAATCCACACAAGAATTTCAGGATGATATAGTACATGTATATATTATATAACAGGTATACACAATTTAAATAATACCAGTAGTTATCACTTTGTTAAACTTCAAATAACTCCCAAACTTTTCCCTCAGGAATATACTGTAATTTAAAAACACTGTCTATCAGACACTGCCTGCACACAGAGGAAATGTGCAACTGCAGTCTGTATATTTTTCTCTAAAAGTATCTCCAGAAAATGTAAACAATCCAGAATCCAGTTAACTTAGCATGAAATAATCACTTCTCCTGGGGGTTACATGCACAATTTCACTGCAGATGTGATCTTAAATATCTTCAAAAATCTATTTAACAGAGGCAGAAAGCAATTTCTATACCACTTTTTAACCACTTTGCCAAGTGGATGCTTACATAATGTTTCTGGAATGGTTCTGTACCTTTCTTATAGACAAACAAATATATAATCATTCTGGCAGAATCTGAGGCACAGTCTAGTAAATCATCAATACCTTCTTGTCTAAATCTATACCACATTAAAGACAAATTCAATTCAATTCAAATGAAAGTTATATAAACATTATTTGGATAATTCCACTTTTGATTAATATCAGATTTTTTTTAATTTCTAAAGATTGTCTTGGTGGTCCTTTTATCTTCATTTGCAGATTTCAAATATTGCTGTATCAGGTTCAAATAAATCTGAAGAATGTGGTTATCATTTATATATCAAACTTTAGGTATGCTGCAATATTCATGATGCCAACACTGTAGAGTTTATCAAACTTGATTATCCTTTAATTTTCAAACTTTTTTTGTTGTCTTGTTATACAAATATAGATGTACATTTAATTTTAATTTATGTATCACAGATCAAAATTATAATTTGGATATACATGAATTACTTTAAGTGAGAGAGAATTTTGTACAAGATACAGAATTTTTTTATCCATTTTCCCTATCAGACATTATCAAAGTGTCAGTATTAAAGTGTTGTATTGTAGCTTATTAGAAGAGTGAAGGCCAGTTATTAGACAAGATTGAGACAAGATTGCTGTGAAGTGGGTACTTACAATGAGAGGCTTTACCATTTTATCATCAAACAATGGGTTCATCCAGAGAACTACAACAACACATGCTTTGTTACAGCTATGCTGATGATTTACAAAACTACAGTAAAGTCAATTTCAGCATTATTTCTGTTAAGACAACAGTTGTTTGTAATCATCACTGGTATACATTGGAGTAAAGTTATATTTAGACAATAATGCATTATTTCCGGGTTTCAAATACTGAACTCTTTTTGAAAATACTTTAACAACATTTCAAAACTGCTACATGTATAATCATAAAATAGAATAAATCTTTTTACAAATCCATGCCAGAAATGTTGTTGTTAGGCAACAATTTAATTCAAAATTGAATAATTTTATTACACTTTTTTGTCAGTTGATGGGGGAAAATGTTTAAGACTTTAATCATTTTCATGCCTAGTCTAGAAGTTATACAGCATCAATTCTGCTTCTCAACACAGAGATCATGGGTTTGAGCCATACTGGGGCCAAAACTGTATTTGAGTCCTATGAAGTGCATCATTATAATGAACTCCAGAGGCATATATATAAGTAGCAAGAACTTGTTTCACTATCTACCATAAAAACAAGAGCCGGTTGAACCGGGTGATGCTCACCGACTAGGTTTTGGACACAGAAAAGTATATCTTTTGTAGTTTCAGAGTTATATCCCAGACAAAGTTCAAAGTGTGATAATTCCAAACTTAGGCAAGGCAGAGTTACTGTTCTTTGCACTGCACTTCTACTCAATGAGATCTATCTACTGACTTGCGCACTACACGACATCTCAATATGTTGATAATTTCTGTGGAATAGTTGTAAAATCCGACTTCAAATAACGAAGTTATGGGCCAGACATGATTTTGCTGCAAGGTCATGCTGTAACCTTGACCTTCAAGGTAGTGACCCAAATGTTGTGAGCGACACGTCGTCTCAATATAGTGATCATTTCTGTGAAATAGTTGTAAAATCCGACTTCAAAAAACGACGTTATGGGCCGGACACGATTTTGCCCTAAGGTCATGCTGTGACCTTGACCTTCAAGGTAGCGACCCAAATGTTGCGCGCGACAAGTCGTCTCAATATGGTGATAATTTCTGTGAAATAGTTGTAAAATCTGACTTCAAATAACAAAGTTATGGACCGGACACGAAATCGGGACGCACATCCGACCCAATAGGGATAAAGGGCCATTTTTATTGTTCTTTTCTTTTGTTTAATAGAGGGCCATGGCCCCTTATTTTATTGTTATGGAATGATTTCTATTGTTCTCTTTTGTTCTGTTTACAGTTAGATGGCCCCCTATCCCTATTCGGTAGTGTGGACTGACGGACGGACGGACAACCCGGCGACTCTATGCTCCCCCGAAATTTTTCAGGGAGCATAATAAATATTCTTTGTTTCTCCTCTTGCTACCTACCACCAAAAATCATTGCTACCAAAACAACATTTGTTTCTACTGCTTATCAAACTAGATTCTGTCAATGAAAATCATATATTTTATATTATATGTTTGTAGTTTCATGTTTTGGCATTGTAAATAATAATGTAATACAAACAGGGATATACATTTACATGGTAATAAAAGTTTAAAATTTGGTTCTAAACTATGTAAAGACTGGTGCTAACCATTTGCTAAAAATTTGAACTGGCACGGGTGCAGGAGAGGAAACAAAGATTTTTTTCAAACTGGACTTTAATTGGTTTAAAAGTAAATTCATAGGTCAAAGGGGAGACTATTACAGAGTTACAGGGCTTGACATTCTCTCTGGTGTGAATTTATCCTGCTCATATTTTCAAAATATAAAGGTTTTTAACAAAATATCACAAATTTAGCAGAAAACAGTACACAGTATTTTAAATCTTAAGTCAGTTTCAATTGTTGTGCGCTCAGAGAGTTTTAAAGAACAAGTAAATTTAGTTAATTTACTCACAATGTAAATCTATATCAATATTTGTACAAACTTAAAACTCATTATTGATATTACTAGGTTTATATTACAAGTTCTTACAGTAAATATAAATACATGTAAGTAAGTAGCTAGTAGTAAGAGCTTGTCTACCTTTGTATCACCTGTATAGTGATCTGACAAGTCAAAATAAATACTAGTTGAGTAGAAATTAAACTACAGCAAACAAATAAACATCACTTCAGACTTATCTTGCCATGTTTATATTTTGCTAACACAGGAAACCATTTCTCTGTTCTATAATTACTGGCAGGGTATCTGAGGAAAGTGTATGAGTTTTCAGCATGTTTTTGCCTGAAAGTGATGATAATAAGGGTGCATACCAACTTGAGAGCGTGGAATGCAGAATTTGGCAGCCAGCACCATTCTGTGTCAGCTTCATATATAACACAACTTCACAAATGTTATAACTTCATTCCAACAAACACAATGTTATATTTATCATAATATGACTACCTAGAAACTTAACAAAACACAAAAAATGCTTTGACTGGTAAATTTCAAATTTGTATCAAAGTCAAATCAATCAAAGTCAAATCAAAGTCAAATCAATGTCAAAATACTAGTGTGTTAATTAATATTCTTCTACTTTTATGAAGAACAATTTTACAAGCATCTAACATGCTATAAAACTATTATTTAAATAATATAAAACTCATATTTGCCCTTTCTAAAGAAGTGGAAATATATTTGTTTCTGAGACATAATGTGCCTCTAAATCAATAAACATATACTGGCATGCTAGTACTTCCTTGACAAAAATAGTACATGCAGTTACCTAAAATCTATTTTTTTAAGATGCTCACTCACATGTTACACATAAATATTCTGCTCATTACACTATATTATAGAAATCCCGCATAGAATAATTTTCAGTGATAAGGCCTGATAGTTAAGAGGTACAGAAATTACCCATTATTTTGTATGAAGAGCTCCTGTATACATAAACTATAACCCTGGACAGTTATACAATGTTGTTTCATCAGTCCTTTTTTCATTTATAACTATTCATAACTATTGAAGAGACCATTTTTCCAGAGGTTAATAGATGTCATTCAGGAAATACAGAGTGGGCTAAACGGCAAACCCTTTTACAGGCCCTACATGTCAGTATTTCAATGTTAACCATGTCTCGTTCAACAACACACAAGAAACCTTTTCGTACCTTATGCACAAAATTGACACATTTTATCTAGTTATTGAACATGCGTTTTTGATACAAAGTGTTTCAAGAACGCAAGTAAAAAATCAAGTGTTTACTTGAACAAGAGCTGTCGGTAGGACAGCATGCTCGACTATTCTTAGTGCTTGATAGTAAAAAAAATGCCTGATACAGTTACCTCCTCCTGTTTACAGGTTGGGGTCATGATGGTGAACAAGTGTGCAAAGTTTCAAAGCCATATGTCAATGGACTTTGAAAATATTTGAACTATTACAAAAACTTTAACGTAAATTCTAAGTCGAAAAAGGGGCATAATTCTGTCAAAATGCTTGATAGAGTTACCTCCTCCTGTTTACAGGTTGGGGTCATGATGTTGAACAAGTATGCAAAGTTTCAAAGCCATATGTCAATGGACTTTGAAAATATTTGAACTATTACAAAAACTTTAACGTAAATTCTAAGTCGAAAAAGGGGCATAATTCTGTCAAAATACTTAATAGAGTTACCTCCTGCTGTCTACAGGTTGGGGTCATGATGTTGAACAAGTGTGCAAAGTTTCAAAGCCATATGTCTATGGACTTTGAAAATATTTGAACTATTACAAAAACTTTAACGTAAATTCTAAGTCGAAAAAAGGGGCATAATTCTGTCAAAATGCTTGATAGAGTTACCTCCTCCTGTCTACAGGTTGGGGTCATGATGGTGAACAAGTGTGCAAAGTTTCAAAGCCATATGTCAATGGACTTTGAAAATATTTGAACTATTACAAAAACTTTAACGTAAATTCTAAGTCGAAAAAGGGGCATAATTCTGTCAAAATACTTGATAGAGTTACCTCCTCCTGTCTACAGGTTGGGGTCATGATGGTGAACAAGTGTGCAAAGTTTCAAAGCCATATGTCAATGGACTTTGAAAATATTTGAACTATTACAAAAACTTTAACGTAAATTCTAAGTCGAAAAAGGGGCATAATTCTGTCAAAATACTTGATAGAGTTACCTCCTCCTGTCTACAGGTTGGGGTCATGATGGTGAACAAGTGTGCAAAGTTTCAAAGCCATATGTCAATGGACTTTGAAAATATTTGAACTATTACAAAAACTTTAACGTAAATTCTAAGTCGAAAAAGGGGCATAATTCTGTCAAAATGCTTGATAGAGTTACCTCCTCCTGTCTACAGGTTGGGGTCATGATGGTGAACAAGTGTGCAAAGTTTCAAAG